CAGAAAAGAAGAACAACAAAGAAGAGATAAGCGAGAACAAAAAAAAAAGAAAAAAAGAAAGAAAGAGAGAGAGAGAAATGGAGAGAGGAAGGGAGGGAGGAAGAGAGAGGAGGGAAGGAAGGAAAGAAAGAGGAAGGAAGGAAGAAGGGAAGGAAGGAAGGGAAGAGGGAAGAGAGGGGAAGGAAGGGAGAGAGGAAGGGAAGGAAAGAAAAAGAAGAAAGGAAAAAGAAAAAAGAAAGAAAGAGAAAAAGGAAAGAGAGAGGAAGGGAGAAAGAGAAGGAAGGAAGGAGAAAGGAAGGGAGAAAAGGGAAGGAAGGAAGGGGAAAAAGGGAAGAAGGAGAGAGGGAGGAAGAAATAAATAAATCTCAGTTTATCGCTATTATTTTGTGATTTTGTCTCATAAATATCTTTTATTACCTCCCACCCCCAACACACAAAGAGGTCGACCACAACACCTGACACGGTGTCAAAGCCAGCCTAGTGCCAGAAGCCAACTGAAACGTCTAACCTGGTCTCTCCCTCTCTCTCTCTCTCTCTCTCTCTCTCCCTCTCTTTCTCCCAGGTGTGCTGATGCACCGGGGCTACCCTCTGGACCTGTTTATGGCCCAATGCTACGGCAACACCAGCGACCCCGGGAAAGGCCGCCAGATGCCCGTCCATTACGGCTGCAAAGACTTGAACTTCGTCACCATCTCATCCCCGCTGGCCACCCAGATCCCACAAGGTGAGACTTCGTCAGAGTCCCAGGTTTAGCTTCTGGAGACCCCCGACAGACCCCCACCCGCTCTTCTGACCTAGACTTCCCCAACAGCACGAAAGCCGACTCCTCGTCCCCATAAACCCCTTTTATTGAGTTTACTGTGAATTCCGCTCCAGCAAAGTCCTGGCCAACCGTCTTTTCAAGAGATTTCCCAATTACAGACCTTTCTCAGGCTTGGAGAGCTGCCAGGCCGATATCTTTCAGATGCCACACTGTAGCAGACAATACTTGGCAAGAATGCAGAAACAGATCTTCACCCCAATGAACTAATGGTCACCTGCAAACACCCCTTCCCTTTCGCTCCTCTTTTATTTCCTATGGGAGGGGCCATTCGCCGTCCACCTGTGGCTTTACTCCCAAGACGACCCTTGTTCCTTAGCTGTTCCCTTCTTCCGGCAGCTCTAAGCATGCACACACTGGGAACAGGCTCCAGCTGTTCTTCTGCCTCACTCATGTCCAACTCCGAAGCAGCTGATAACTGTCAGACGGCCCTGGCCGTGTGTGACCCAAAGGGGCGTGACACAAAGGCAACACAGTCAGATCATCAGTAGGAGTCCCTTTATTAGCTCCAACTTTGCCCCCAATGTCCTGGTTACCTTCTGGGCTGGAGAAAAACTCTCCCAGGAACAGCCTTTGGCTGCAGGGAATCAAGTCCAAAACGTGGGCAACAAAAACTGTAACTATAAGTCCAAACAAGGCAAAATGAGGTCATTAATCCGGCAGAGCAGGAGCAAGAATTCCAGATGTGAAGGAACGGCCATAATTCAACATGATTGGGAGGAACTCAGATAACAAAAGTCAACACAAGATAAACTCACATTTGTTCCCAGCAGCTGCCCTACTCAACATGCATCTCTTTTAAACTCTTTTCCCAGCTGAAGGGAATCAGGGCCCTTTCCTCCCCCGTAAGCCACGCAACCCACATTGCTCCCTTCTCCGTTCGTCCCTGCCTGGCTAGGATGAAGAGGGGGTGGGTCTGGGTCTTCCTCTGAACTCCCTCTCCCGTGTTCTACCTCTCCCCTGCTCTGCCCAGTCGGACTTTGCCCTTCCCCAGTTTTCTCCACAGCCAACGGAGCCACACACTCCCACTCCCTGTCAGCTGTCTGTCTTCCTCCTCGGATTCATGACAGGCCCCGTGTCTGCCTCCGACGCAGAGCCCTCGTCAGAGCCTTCCCCAGACTCCAGGACTGGCCCAGGCTCCTCCCCAACCTCCTCACTGTCCGAGCCAACGCAGGCTCTTAATGTTTGAGGAAACCCCGCCACCCCCAAGAATGAACAGCCTGACCCCTCTCTCTCTCCTTCCCTTGCTAGCGGTGGGGGCCGCCTATGCCTTCAAGCGGGCGAACACAAACCGCGTCGTCATCTGCTACTTCGGCGAAGGGACGTCCAGCGAGGGGGACGCCCACGCAGGCTTCAATTTTGCCGCCACCCTCGACTGCCCAATCATCTTTTTCTGCCGGAACAACGGCTACGCCATCTCCACTCCAACATCTGAACAATACCGGGGCGACGGAATCGGTGAGACAAACGACCAGTCATAAGCTGAGGACTACCTCAATTCTGGTGTTAGGAACCATTCTGTAATCCTGAATTCAGAAACCTTCCTAGATCTAGAGTTTAAACTCAACTTAAATTTAAAATTTAAACCTTTCATTAAAAAAAAAATACGTAAGCAGAAGGGGTTCTGGAAAGACATGGCTCCCAAGTGTGTTCATACGTCTTGTTGCACCCTCAGCTGCCCGGGGTCCCGGTTACGGCATCCAGTCTATCCGTGTAGATGGCAACGACGTCTTTGCCGTGTATAATGCCACCAAGGAGGCCCGGCGCCGAGCCGTGGCCGAAAACCAACCGTTCCTCATTGAGGCTATGACCTACAGGTGGGTGTGGAGCAATGGTGGGATTCAAATGTTTTTACTACCGGTTCTGTGGTTGTGACTTGATGGGCGTGGGTGGCTTGGCTGGGTAGGTGTGGTGTGGCTGGATGGGCGTGGCTGGTTGGGTGTGGTCGGGCGTGGTGTGGCTGGGTGGGCAGGGCAGGGGGAGGATGCACTGCAAAATCCCCATTCCCTCCCCACCCCACTACCCTGCTTTCCAGCTCCGTTCTCCTGTGCAGGGCAACCAAAGAAGACCCAGCCAATCAGCTGCGACTCGGGAGGCGGAGAATAGATGGGGGCGGGGCCAGTCAGAGGTGGAATTTGCCGGTTCTCCGAACTACTCAGAATACCCACTTCCGGTTCTCCAGAACTGGTCAGAACCGGCTGAATACCACCTCTGCTTCCTTCCCTTTGTTCCTCTCTTTCTTCCAGTGGTGGGATTAAAAAAAAAAATTCTACCAGTTCTGTGGGCATGGCTGGGAGGTGTGGTATGGCTTGGTGAGTGTGGCTTGGTGGGCGTGGCAGGGGAAGGTTACTGCAAATTCCCTCCCCACCCCACTAACCTGCTTTCCAGCTCTGTTCTACTATGCAGGGCAACCAAAGGAGACCCAGCCGATCAGCTGGGACTCAATGGGAGGCAGAGAATAGATGGGGTTGGCGGGGCCAGTCAGAGGCGGGATTGGCCGATTCTCCAAACTACTCAAAATGGCTGCTATCGGTTCTCCAGAAGTGGTCCGAACTGGCTGAATACCACTTTGGTTTGGAAGTGGACCAGGCGGTTGGAAGAGGGGTCTGGCCAAAATCAACTTTGTCCCCCCCCCTTCCCTCCCCCCTGTCGCCTCCTTCTCCCAGGATCGGGCACCACAGCACCAGCGATGACAGCTCAGCCTACCGCTCCGTGGATGAAGTCAATTATTGGGACAAGCAAGACCATCCCATCTCAAGACTCCGCCACTACATGACGAGCCGCAACTGGTGGGACGAGGAGCAGGAGAAGAGCTGGCGGAAGAAATCGCGCAAACGGGTCAGTGGTTGAGCCGAAAGATATACGTGCCCCTGGGGCCGCTAGGACCCAGGGCGGCCAATTAAATTTCCCCAAAAGTCTTGCAGAGAATGTCTGCTGTGTAGATTCTCAGTCATCCAGGTCAGGATTGTTCCAAAAATGCTTTTTTTAAAGAGCCATCCTCTGGGAATCACCCCAAAAAGGAAGGCTACTTCAGCTGAATTCTAGAAAATAGCAATAGTCCTTAGACTTATATACCGCTTCTCAGTGCTTTACAGCCCCCTCTAAGTGGTTTACACTGAGTCAGCCTCTGGCCCCCGACAATCTGGGTCCTCATTTTACCGACCTTGGAAGGACGGAAGGCTGA